TCCAGTCGCCGGCCAGCCGGGTGACCCCATACTCTTACCACGGAGTCCTAATTGAACCATCATCCCCTTTCCTGCACTGGAAGTAATATGCGTTAGGAAAATCAATCCATTTGTAGGGGGAGAAACCAGACTGGTTTCCTGCTACTGCTCATATTTTCACTAAAACCCTATTTTCCTGGAACCAACATTGAAAAAAACAGCACATTTTATTCAAAACAAGGCAATATTGGTATTGACAGAGCTGCAGTGATAATGAGGACGATCAATTTTCCCTTCTCCATTATGGGGTATTGAGCAACTTTGGAGTAAACTTGTGGCATCATTAGACAAGATCAGCATTTCTCCTTTTTGAAAACTTTTTCTCTTTCTTTTTTGCATATTTAGATTGAAAGTATATCTGCTCTGATGAGGGCAGCCGGGGTGGGTGGGGAGAACAAAGCAAAACAAAACAAACAGTCCCCAAAGCAATATGTGAAGTGCTGGTAATAAAAACTGGGGCTCATAGACATTTCTTTTTAATTCTTATTAATAATACATTGTGATGTTATTTTTGCATCTTGCTCCATATAGACTGTCTCCCCAACTCTCACCCCAAATTAAAAGAGTGCAGTTACAGAATGGAATAATCCCAGTTCTGGTAGAGAGAATGCTCAAAGCAAGAGGGCAGATGTTCTTTGTCTGTTGTAACGGCAGTGGAGGAAAAAGGCAGAGGCTATGGTGGATGCAGGAAGAGACAGAACATCAGAAGGCAGTTCTGGAGAAGGAAATCAAGGACATTAGTAGATTTCCACACAGAATAGCTCCTCAAAGCAAAAGTGAAAGAATTGTTTAATGCACATTAATGTGGGCATTTCTATCTTCAGTTTCTTGTCCTTGTTGGGCTGCCCATATATCTCTGATAGATCAGGCTGGCTGTGCAGAGAACCTGTGTAAAGGGAGGTGGACTGCTATGGTGGCCCAGTTAGTGTATTCCAAGGGTTCACATGCCAGAAGTCTGGTCTCCAGGATGGTAGTGTTGAGAGGTGTGGGACCTTCAAGGGTGAAACCTAGTGGGAAGTTATTGGGAGTGTTGTCCTTGAAAGGAATTAATGGAATTTTCTTTTATTTTCCTCCCTTCCTCCCTTCCTCCCTTCCTTTTATTCTTTTAATTTCTTTCTTTCAGTGCTAAGGATTGAACCCAGGGTTGCTTAGCCACAGCTCCATATACCCAGCCCCCAGCCCTTTTTAAAAATTTTGAGACAGGTCTTACTAAGTTGCTTGGGGCCTTGCTAAGTCACTGGCCTTGAACTTTGGATCCTTTTGCCTCAGCCTCCCAAGATAGTGGGATTACAGGAGAGTGCCACAGGGACCTAGTAGGTTCTCAAGAGAGGGTGGTTAGGAAAGAGTTGTCTTGCCCTTGAAACTCCAGAATTATAAGCTACATAAGCCTGTTTGTTAATGCACTACCCAGCCTCAATTATTTCACTATAGTGACAGAAAACAGATTGATACAAATATTACCTTCTCCAAGTGATGAGACCTTTCCTTGACATTAGTCAACCATGTGATCAGGCTAACAGCAACATTGACAAAATAGTGATACTTCAGAATAACAAAATGCTGCCCAGAAGGGAAGTACATCTGAAAAGTCATTCTTGTGTGACTTTATCCCCTCTAAATTTTAAATCAGGAGTGTTATTAAATATACCTTAGAAATGGAGACATTGCTGAATGCCATCAGATTGAGGTAAGAGGTACAGGCATTGAGTGTCTGGAAGCAGGTGAGAGGATGTGAGGTGGGCTGTGGCCCCTCTGATCTTTTTAAATTAGGGCATTATAATTATGCCTAGCGTTTGGGTTTTCCTTTCTTCTTCCCACCACCTTTTCTCCCTCCTCTACTGATCTTCCTTTTACTCCTTTATTCATTTATTTTTGATTGGCATTTTCTACATATATATAAAGATGAAATTCCCTTTGATACATTTATATATGTACATAACATAATTTTGTTACATTCATTTCATATTTTCCTTCCTAGAATTCTTCATTCCTCTCTTTGTTCTTTTTCTACTCCACTGATTTTTCCTATGTCTTTATGATATTTTATTATGATTCCCTCCTTCACCACTGTCTTTTCCTCATTTTGCTCTAGCTTGTGAATTTGAGAGAAAAAAATTGACCCTCTATTTTCTGAATCTGGCTTATTTCACTTGGTATGGTTTTCTCCATTTCCATCCATTTACTGGCAATTGCCATTATTTCATTCTTCTTTGTGATTGAATAAAACTCAATTGTGTATATGTACCACATTTTATTGATCCATTCATCTATTGATGGGCATCTGGGCTGATTCCATAATTTTGGCTATTGTGAATGGTGCTGCTTGTAAACATTGAAGTGGGTATATCACTATTGTATGCGAATTTTAGTTCTCTTGAATAAATACCAAGGACTGGGATAGCTGGATCATATGGTGGTTCTATTCCTCATTTTTTAAGGAATCTTCATACTGCTTTCTAGTGTGGTTGCACTAATTTGCAGTCCCATCAACAATGTATGAGTGTATTTTTTCCCCTCACATCCTTGCCAGCATCAATTATTGTTTGGGTTCTTGATAATTGCAATTCTGACTAAAGTGAGATGAAGTCTTAGTGTTGTTTCAATTTGCATTTCCCTGATTACTAGAGATGCTGCATTCTTTTTCATATATTTCTTGGCCATTTGTGTTTCTTCTTTTGAGAAACTTCTGTTTAGTTCTTTTGCCCATTTATTAATTGAGTTATTTGTTTTTTTGATATTGGGTTTCTTGAATTCTTTATATATTCTGGATATTAATCCCCTTTCAAAAAATTAGCTGGCAATGATTTTTTTTCCCATTCCATAGGCTCTCTCTTAATTTTCTTAATCACTTCCTTTTTAAAAAAATTTGACAGCATCCAAGTTTTGATTTTATTTTTTGAACTTTAGGGATATTGTTGAGAAGGTTGGTGCTATATCTATATAATGGAATATTTTTCTTATAGCAATTGCAAGGTTTCTGATCTAATACATAAATCTTTGATCCATTTTGATTTGACTTCTGTGCAGGGTAAAGATAGGGATCTGGTTTTATTCTTCTGCATTTGGATATCCAGTTTTTTCCAGCATTATTTGTTAAAAAGGACGTCTTTTATCCAACATATGTTTTTGGCACCTTTGTCAAATATCAGATGACTGTAAGTTTGTGGGTTTGTTGTTATGTCTTCTGTTTCTTTGATCTTCATGTCTGTTTTCATTCTATTACCATGCTGTTTTTCTACAAATAGCTCTTTTTTTCATTACAATTCTTAATACACCTTTATACCACAATTTATCATATCTTTGATTGTATATGAGGTATGTTGACAGAAAATTCACATACATGTATTTTGTATAATGATGAGGGTCTGTAGCTCTTTACTGTAATTTGTGATCAGATATCGTGATGCCTCTAGCTTTGCTCAGAAGCATTTTGGCTATCCTGGGTCTATTATTCTTCCAAATGAATTTTAGAATTGGTTTTCCTAGCTCTGTGAAGAATATCACAAATATTGCATTGAATCTATACATTGTTCTGGTAGTACAGCTATTGTGACGATATTAATTCTGCCTATCCAACAACGTGGGAGGTCTTTCCATCTTCTGTGGTGACACTAAAGACACTTCAGAATAAAAAATGATTCCTGGAAGGGAAGTTCCTTTGATGAAAAATCATTCTAATGTGACTTCATCCCCTCAAAATTTTAAATCAGAAGTGTTATTAAAGACACCTTAGATAGCTGGGGTTGTGGCTCAGTGGTAAAGCACTCACCTAGCAGGGGTGAGGCACTAGGTTTGATTCTCAGCACCACATAAAGATAAATAAATAAAGGTATTGTGTCCATCTACAACTAAAACACTTAAAAAAAAGATACCTTAGAAATGAGGACATCACTGAAACCATCTGTTTGAGGTAAGAGGTGCAGATGTTGAGTGTCTGGAAACAGGTGAGAGGACGTGAGGTGGGCTGTGACCTCTCTACATTTTTAAAAAAATCTAGGAAAGATGAGGATTCTTTCCCCATACATTTAACTCCATGAAACATATATCTTATAAAATAGTGTTATAAGCCTTTGGAAGAACCCAATTTTGTTTAATTCTCTCCCTTTTTGATAGAAACTTACCCTTGACCCTTTCTTTGTATGGAGACTCTCAAATAATCATGGAGAGATCATGATGGGATGAGGTGATTCTGAGCATGAGATCCAGGGACAAAGCCAGGCCCTGTCCTTATCATGTGGCCCCATGCAATTAACTTCTCTGAACTCAGATTCCTCTTCTGTAAAATGGGGATGACCGTAGCATCTACTTCAGATTTCCTCACAGGTATAATATAATCATGTTGAAATGCTTAGAGCGTGGCTTGGCACATGCAAATACCTGGTAAATATTCTCATCATGGGATAAAATTTGGTACTTAAGGTAAAGTAAATGTCAGGCCTGGAGTCCCTTTTACCTCTAATAGTTCCATAAAGTTTACTCAGGGCTGCAGGAACCCTGTTCCTCTCCAGAATACTGTTAAGTTCTCTGCTAAAGCATGTCCTATACTGGGCAGAGACCCTGTCTGCTCACTGGCCTCATCTTTATACCATGAATCCCTTGGGAGCAGGGAAGAGTCTTACCCATCTTTAAATACCCAGAAGCAGTGGTTGCAGGACCACTGATACTTGTTTGAAGGACAAGGAGAAGAAAGGAGGTGGGAGAGTGCAATGAAAGAAAGCTTTCACTGGGGGATGTGAGTAGGAGCTCAGGTCTTTCTCTAGGCTGGCCTCCCCCTGTGCCTACTGTTGCAGATGAAGAGGGATGTGGGAGAACACCTGAGACAGGGGTACGGTGGGCATGAGTTGTGGCAGGGGTCATTAATTGTCCCATATCCAATCCCAGGCCCAGTTGAGAGCTTGCCAGTGTCACCCACAGGATGTCCTACCCTCAAGGGCTCATGGTTTTCTTTGGTTACCTCTTAGCTTTCTGAGGAGATCCAGTGCTCCATGGCCAGTCACCTCCAGTCCCTGGTGAAATCAGAGAAGAACCGCCAGGTCATGTGTGAGGCGGGGATGCTCAGGACCCTCATGACCTCCTGTGGCTGGGCCCTCAGCACCAGCAGCAGCCCCTTGCACTCACACCTCATCAGGATTTTTGAAAAGCTTGCTTCCCAAGCCATCGAACCAGATGTGTTAAGGTATCATGGGAGCTAAGAATTACATGCTGCAGAGAAGGGTGATGGGTGCACCATGGACAGTAGGGAGTCTGTGGACAGGTGTCCTGGTCCCCCTCCAACATTCAACATGGAAGTCCATGGAAAAGCCTTGGGTCTGCTGTGCCATGCACTGGGACCCACAAAGCAGACAGCCCTTCCCATGGAGATGGTGGTCTCTGGAAAGGGGGCTTCAAGAACATGAAGCTAGAGCTAGCCCTGAGGCCTGGGCAGTTCGCTTGCAAGGAGAGGAAGGAACTGGACATTGCAAGATCTGTTGGAAAGAGTGGGACTGGGAGGAGTGGCACTGGGAGGGTCTGACAGATCCAGAGGCTAGTTTGCAGAAAGCTGGGGTGGCAGCACTCCTATTGGGGACCTCCATGAAGTCACATTCTTGGAGAGCCACAGCAAGGAGGGAAGGCACACAGGAAAGCAGAGGTGGAAGACAAAAATCAGAGAAAGGATAGGCTGCATTCTGGAGGGAGGTTGAATCTCCCAAGATCCTAAACTACCCTGTGGGAGTCTCCAGATGGGGGGCACTGAGGGGGGTCACATACTCAGCAGTTCCCTGCTTATACAAGTCAGGGGGACAGAAGGCTACCTCTTTCCAGCCAGCACGCATGGGGTCCAGAGGCTGGGCCAGCCTCTTCAGTCCTGGTTGGATAGGCTGCCAGACCAGCCACCACACTTCGTGCTGGGTAGAAAATTCCTTCAGAAATTTTTATAAAAAATGCACATCACAAGATGGTGCTTGAGGCTCCTAACTTTGCAGGTTCTCTGGTAGCAAGACAGTAACACCCTGTCTCTGCAGTGCTTTAGGAAAGGGCATTTCAAGCCAAGGGGGTAAAGGGATCAAAGGAACACTGGACATCTGGGGGAAGTGGTCTGGATAAAGTTGAAGAAAACTTTAAAATGTGCCTGTAAAATGTCTTCACTTGGTTCTCTTGTATGTTATGATACTCAGACAATTTCTAGGTCTTGGAATTCCTCCACCTCTGTCTGCTACAAAGAAAACCCTTGATTCTTCTCAATGGCATGGAAGCCCCCCTGGACACTCAGGTGAGGAGGGGGAATAACTGGAGTAGCTCAGGGCTGATTAGGGGGATTAGAGGCAAAATGACAGGGTGATGCCCTGTGTCAGGCCTGCTACTTGGCGGGGGGGTGACATTGAAAACAAAGTCATGTACACCTTCAATGTATTATCACATAGGATCCAGTTTAGAGAAAGAATGAAAAATCAGTCTTGGAACTGGTTGCCATAGGTGGGAGCTGAAAACTCTCAGGGAGACAGCTTGCTGTGGAAGATTGCAGGTTAGCGAGCTTGTGCAAAGTTCCAGCAAGTAACTCCAGTAGGCAGACAAGCCATTGATAGCAGCAGAAAGTGATGCTTGGAAAGGGGAAGGAAGCATGCTGGAATGAAAGAGAAATTTCTGGAGGAACAGAGGAAAAGATTATTTCCACCTTTTGATATTATCAAAATCAGCAGAGCTCATGCTGAAGGGTCAAGAGATCCACCGTCACTTGTGTTTAGTGTTTGGAGACTGCATAATGCTCTGTTAGTGGAGATACTTCAGGGATATTTCCAAAACAGGGGTGAAAATGCACTGGGCAAGGACATATATTTTCTTTTGTTTTCTTTCTTAGGGTTACAGGCAGCAGATCAGGGCATGGTTGAGGGACCTGCAGAAGCCAGTCCAAATTCTGGAGTGGCTCAGTCCCTCAGGTCCTCAGAGGCATCCCAGGATTCAACCACAGCCCTTCAAACCGCACTGAGCCTCATCTCCATGACCTCCCCACGCAACCTGCAGCCTCAGAGGGCTGCTCTAGCACCATCATTTGTGGAATTTGACATGTCTGTAGAAGGTTATGGGTATGGACAACTCTCATTATTAACTTCCTTGTGCCTCTGATGAGTTAAAACATTGATTATAAAATTATAGCTCCCATAAGTTTTTACCGCCCAAGCAGAGCAAAGTGTCTAGGTTATGAGCCCTCTCTGCTCAGTGGCTTTTTAGGGGCAGTATCACCAGCCGTGGAGGATCACAGCCCTCTCCTTTCCTGGTGTGGCTACCTTCTGGAATCTCCTCCCATCCTCTCCAGCCTCTGTGGGGGATCGTAATAGCACTAACTGCTTTCTATCCTTTCTTGGTGTAAGAGTGGGTAAAGCTCCTACCGGAGGACCAGAGAGAGGAGATGTCATGGCCCCAACTAGCTGACTTCAGGCAAGAGGGTGTCTTTGCAGTCCAGTGATCTGAGATTCTTTCTTGTTTCCAGCTGTTTGTTTATTCCAACCCTGTCTACAGTTATGGGCATCAACACCGAGTATTCTGTCTCTGGAGGGATTGGGACAGGTAGGTATTTCCCAGGTGGTTTAGTTCTCCACCTGACCCCAAGAATAGGTCCTCAAGTATTACTTATTTCCTGTGAGCATCTACTTCCTACCATAAATAATGAGACAAAAGCATCCTCTGCCTTGTGGAGTTGAAATGAATTTGGCATGAGTTAGGCCAGGCACAGTGCTGGCACTTAGCGTGGCTGTCAACTCAGAGCCCCAGTGGATCTAAATTTGTTTCCTCAGCAGGACAAACAGTGAGGCTATGCTTATGTTCTTATTCCAGGTGCTGCCAGATCATTCCCTCCACCAGGGGGTCTGACCTTCTCCTGCTGGTTCCTGATCAGCAGGCAGGCTGCTATCACTGAGGGCCACCCTCTGCGCTTCCTAACCTTGGTGCGCCACCTGGCCAGGACTGAGCAGCCCTTTGTCTGTTTCTCCGTCAGCCTCTGTCCAGATGACCTATCCTTGGTTGTGTCCACAGAAGAGAAAGAATTCCAGCCCCTGGGTAAGACATTGGGATGCTATACTGGTGTCTCCTATACTTGGTTGAAATGAAACTGAATTAGAAGCTCTTGATAAGGGCATGTTTAGAAACCTGGCAACCTCTTGTTTCTCCTCATCTTTTACAGTTGCTTCCTTGGGTTCCACATCTGGTGAAAGGTCTAAACAAATATTTGTTGAGTGTCACTGTGGTCTGGGCTCTGGAGCTGTAATTGTCAGGCAGACAAGACTCTATACCTTAGTGTGATTTCAGAGGTTATGCTCAGTAGCTTTCCAGAAACATAGCTCACCACTGGCAGAGTGATCATGGATGGATCTTGGGGAATTGCCTCATTGGAACAAAGACTGATTCATCTCCTGTACAAGGTTTGCAAGGAATACACACAACTTAGCTGCAGCTAAAGCAAACTTAGACATCCCACAAATGTTCAGCCCAAAATACAGAGGGCTGGCCAGTGTTTGGTGGGCAGGCTGGTGGCCCTAGGGACCCAGGAGCCTGATCATCGCTCAGTAGTGCTGGTGGCTGCTCCTTTGGAGCTCTGTCTTTTGGAGTTCAGCCTTGTTCTCCAAGCCCACCTGCCTGAGATGAACAAACCCAATATATCTCTGCCACATGTTCCTCTTTTGTGTTCTGAGTCAGTGTTTCTAGTGAAATATGTGGAAGGCTTAGAGAGAATGGTTGATATTCTCAGCTCACAGCAAGACTTCCTTTGCCCCATCCCTTCCAGGACTTTTACCTGCACATGGCCACTATCATGGAGGCAGTCTAATGTAGCTAGACCCTGGCTGGAACATGACTCCTGTGTTTAAATACTGACTGCATGACCTTGGGCTAATTACTTATCTTTCTTTGCTTCAGAATGGTAAAATGGGAACTATAATATTGCCTATCTTGCAGAGTTGTTTGTGAAAATTAAATGAGCTAATAGTCATAATGGTGCTTAGACCAGTCTGGCACAGTTAGAGCTCAAGGACTGATGGCTGTTGCTGCTGCTAATGTAATTTTTTTTTGAGAAGAAGGGTAGGTTATGTCTACCCGAGGCACAAGGCCCACATGGGTTATCCAGGGACATCCCTCTCCACCATACTGGGTTACTGCAGCATGATGCCAAATGCAAGGTCTAGTGATTGTGTTCTCTTCTAGACATCATGGAACCCGAGGATGAGTCTGAGCCCTCTGCAGGATGCCAACTTCAGGTCAGATGTGGCCAGCTGCTGGCTTGTGGTCAATGGCATCACCTGGCTGTGGTTGTCACCAAGGAAATGAAAAGGAATTGTATCGTTTCCACCTATCTAGATGGACAGGTCATTGGTTCAGCCAAGGTGAGATGGTTTCCCCAAGCACTAGTTACCCCATGGCCATGCCTTCTGATCCCACTACTTGGAGTGGTTTGGGTTCAGTTCAATGTTTTCTTTCAAGCAGGTTTGATATCTAATGAAAACCCCCTTGCTTTCCAAGATACTGACTGAGCTCAGGTGTGAAAAGGACATCTTAAGAAAGTTGACTGAATAATAAGACACTATAAATCTCTGAAATGCACAAAGCAAAGCTTCTCACATTTTAAAATGCAAATTTCACAGGGAGGTCCGAGCAGAGCCTAAGGTCTGACTTCTAAGAACTTCCTGATGAGGCCAGTGCTACTGTGTGCCATTCTTAGGAACAAGATGCAAACACGGCTTACCTGATTTAGAACAAGAATGACAAGAAGGGTAGAAGAATGTGAATGAGTAGTTGGAAGAAACTTCTCTTCATCCTCATTTAGAGATATCAATGTATAAGGAAGGGCAAGGAGTTGGAAGACATGCTTTATCCAGCAACCCCTGTCAGAGGTCCTTGAGGAAGCTAGAGATGGAAAAGCATACAAAACCGGGGAGGGAAGGTACAACTCAATTTCAACTCAGGTTTCAGAGACAAGTATCTGACCAAGGCTGTATCCTAGATTCACCTGGACAGTTTTTTTTTTTAAGTTTTTTTTTGCACAGGTAGTATACTAGATAGAGCAATAACATTAGAAAAGCTGTGGGTCAGGAAATCTGACAATTCAATAGAGCTTTCAATTTTTCCTGGGTGATTCTAATATTTAGCTAGAATGGAGAACCTTAGAGTTACATGTTTCTCAATTTGAACTGAACTGACATTTGGGAACGATAATTCTTTGTTTCAGGGGCCTATTCTGTGTGTTTTAGAATGTTTAGCCAAACATTGTAGTATTCCCTCCTTCATCTCATGACACTGAATTGTGACTACCAAAAATTTCTCCAGATATTACCAGTGTCCCCGAGGGGGCAAAGTTTGTTCCAGGCTAAGAAACACTAGGTTAGAACCAAGTAAATTCTGTAGGACACTGACAAATGAAGTTGATGCTTTTTTTTAAAAAAATTGTTTTTATCAAAAAGACAGTGGTAACTAGAAAGATTTTAGAAGGCTCATAAGAAAAACAGATCCTTCAAAACATAAAGTTAACCTTTTCTTCAGTGATTGATTATATTAGTTTACCCTCTTCCTTCTTTCTTCCCTTCTTTCCCTCCTTCCTCTTCCTTCTTTTCTTCCCTCCCTCAATAAGTATGTACTCCCTCATAAGGAGCTATGTCCCACACACCAAGTATGCATTAGAATTAGCTTGGCTACGTCTTCAAAAAATCTTGGCAGGAATTTAGTCTACAAATTTTGACAGGAATTGCATTATACATATAGATCAGTTTCAGGGGAATGACAACTACACTGTAGTGAGTCTTCCTGTCCATGAATATGGTATGTCTCTCCATTTAGATAGTTTTTAAATTTTTTTGTTGTTATCATTTGGAATGTTCAGTATACAGATTCTATACATGTTTTGTTAAGTAGATCATTTTCTCTTGAACAATTATAAATGGTATTGTTTTGAAATTGTATCTCTGCTTGTTCACTGTTATTGTATAGACATGCAGTTGATTTTTGTATCCTGTGACCTTGATGACCTCACTTATTTGTTCTGGGAGATTTTTAAAAAGATTCCTTAGAAATTTTTACAAGTTCATGTCATCTACAAATAGAGACAATATTATGTCCTTTTTAAAAAAGTGATGTGACTGTAGTTATTATTGGTACATAAAGTCTTATTAATGTGCCAATAATGGACATTTAAATTCTTAGTGGAATGACTGGGCTAAAAGGGATGGACTTTTGTCTCTCTTTGTGCTTCTTATCAAATCTGTTTCCAAAGGCAGAATCAATATTTTATTCCCATCTGTATTTTATAAGTTGTTTTACTGCATGCTTCTTAGATTTGATGGTCATCTTTCTAATTTTTGAAATTCAATAAAATTTTATTTTGACTTGTGAATAAGGTTCATCATGTTATAGTACTACAATTTTATTAGGTTAATTCTAAGATTAGCACTACTTACTTCCTTCATCCTTTATCTTTAAACAGATGCTGTACATTCAAGCCTTACCAGGACCTTTCCTTTCAATGGATCCATCTTCATTTGTGGATGTCTATGGATATATTGCAACCCCTCGGATTTGGAAACAAAAATCATCATTAATCTGGCGTCTTGGTCCTTCATATCTTTTTGAAGAAGCCATATCACCAGATACTCTAGAAGTTATTATCAAGCTTGGCCCAAGATACTGTGGTAACTTCCAAGCTGTGCATGATCAAGGTATGAGTGTTTTGACTTATAATGTCTTTGCTGATATTAGTTTTTAAATGGACATCCAGTTATTTATAGCATATTTATAAATGATAAACTCAGCACAGGTCAATCATTAAGGAAGACCTCTATAATTGGATCATTACATATTTACAACCCAACAGAAAATGTCACAGAAAAGGAAATGACAATATCCTTTAGATTTCAACTCCAAAGCACCTAATGGAGGTGGGTGGGTGGGTAATACCAGCAGTGAAGAAAGAGAGAAGAGAATGAGATAAATAAGTTACATTCCTTTTAATGAAGAAGCTTTTTAACTAAAGCATACTGTTGTCTTCAATTATTAAACAGGCAGACAAAACATCCACATTTTCATTATTGATTGTTGGCTGTTCAAGTAGGGAACATTTCTCTCTGTGCTCTGTCAAGTCAAGGGGGTCAGTTCCCATCTGGGAAGAATGATAAATGCATCTCTGTAGGAAGGCCTTGTGCATGGCGAAGGACGATTGAGTGCTCTTGAGTGTTTCTGTCTCCAGGCCCACATCTTGTTTGAACTTCATTTCCTGAGGCAAATGGCATTGGCCTGAGCAATGGGACTAGGTAGGGTCTAGAGCCATAGTTTCACTGACTCTGTGTTCACACCATACTTCTCTAGTAGCACATTGGCTCTCCAGTGTGCTAATTGCTAGTGTGATGTTCAACACAGCCATGCAACCCATTGAAAATTTTAGGCTTTCAAGCCCAGCTTATTTTCCTTTGTTTCTAAGTCAGATTTCTCATCACTTAGAAGTTTGGTTTTGGGGAAGCAACATTAGCTTGATATCTATTTTAAGCTCCGGTAATTTCACACCTGGTATATCTCTGTTTTATAGAAGCGTCAATCTTGGGAGATTTCTCTAGAGGTTTTGAGTTAGAGAGACACAGGTAGTCACAAAACACATGACATACAAACATACAACTTGCATAGACAATGTAATAACATTAAAAAAATTCTCTCAATGATGACTTTGCTGTGTGGCAGTAGCTATTTAATCACTGAGAACTAATTTCCTTCTTTGTAAAAGGAGACTAGAACTGATTAAAGAATTGTTGCTATAGGAGGAGACCCAGCGGGTCAAGCCACACCCCTTGTTGCAGAGGAAAAGATTTCCTTTGGTCTTCATGTAACCAGCTCCTCCATCACCACTGTAGCAGACATCAGAAATGCCTACAATGAGGTGGATAGTCGCCTGATCGCCAAAGAGGTACACCTTCTAACTTCCCTTGCTGCTCTCTGTTGGAATCTTGATCTCATGACTGCTTCAGCTTCCAGTGCTTAAGCAAACTGTCAGGTGTAGGATAGATATATGCATACACACTATCATTTAATTTGTTAAAACAACCTATGCTTCTCTACCCATTAGCCTCCCCAGGACTAAACCTTCTGTTTATAATTGCTCATAGAAGAAAGTGTGTGGTATTCCTGGTACATCAAGAACAAATGGACTTTATTCTATATTGTTGTGACATAGAGAATACTGCTGACCCATCAGCACACCAGAATTGCTTTGAGTTGCTGTAACTTAAAAAACAAAAAACAAAACAAAACAAAAAATAAACTTTCAATAGATAATGAGCAAACACATGTAAATGAAGATACCATTGATTTACTTCCTCCCAATTCCTGCATAAAAATCTCTTGCTTTTAAAGCTGATACATTTTGACTGATTTGTTTGTATTCTCTTCACTGTCATGGTCAGAGCAGGAGGTGGAGTCAGGAGCTATGTCCCTCATACCAAAGCTGTGCCTTACCACACAATATATTTTCTGATGATCGAGGCCAGGATTTCTACCTTCCTGTCCCTCTGGAATCCTAGAAGTTGGGCTTTTCAGAGCCTGGAAAATCCCCGACAGGGAAAGAGACAGCTTTGCCTTGGTAGTTCTGTTTCAACTTGGGTCATCCCTATCTTCATGAGCTCTTCACTGTGAGTGTGTGGGTTGTCACAGATTCTATAACTGAAGCTGCTTATGTACAGTTAAGCCGCAGCCTGGGAGCAGGACAGGGGGACACAAACTTTGGCTTCAGTTCCCCAACACTATTTCAAGTAGTATTCTTCCACTATCATTGCTTATGAAGCACAGCACTGGGCCAGACCTTGGGGTGCCTGTACTCTGGGAGCTCAAAAATGACATTCCTTCTCTTCCAGGAGTTTCTTAGGATTAATTGTTGCCAATTTCTCTAGATGAACATTTCATCCCGTGACAATGCCATGCCTGTGTTCTTGCTGAGAAATTGTGCTGGACACCTCTCAGGTTTTCTTCGGACCCTTGGAGCTGTTGCTGTGGGCCAATTAGGTAGGTCAGGCAGTGAACCTTTACTTTTCTTTAAGAAGAAGGATAATGCACCCTAGAATTGTGGAGGCTCAGGCAGGATGGAATATACTAGTGAGAGCCAGAGTTGGAAATAAACCCAGTCAGAGAGTTGGCTGCCCAGACAGAAGAGAGATCCATTCACCTTGTGCATCTGACATTGGTAGTGAGCCCAGCTAGTTCCCTGGCTGCACAACAGGAGCCTACATAGGAGGCACATTGGGCCCTGTGTGCAGGGGCAGTGTTGTGGTTGTGGGGTAGAAGCAAAGCAGCAAGCTGGTGTGAGGATGCAGCCCATCAAGATTCAGAGGGCAGGCAAGAGCCAAAGGTTCTCACAGCAACCAAGAAACTGAGTCACAGAGGCCATCTGGCTCATCTGGCACTCTGGACTTAAGGCACATGGTACCAAACTGAGAACCTCTGGAAGTGTCAGCCTTCTAATGATTCAAACAGGCCTTTGCAGAGGATCCCTTAGCTGCCCAAGACTTCCAGAGTCTCTGTCTTTCCTCCTAACCCTGTCCTGATGCATGAATCCTTCTGGCTGTGCATGGGCAGAGGCACAGGCAGCTCCTTCACTCTTGCACACTACTGGGGGATTCTGTAGTGCAGCTGTAAAGTTCTAATAAGATGTCCCCTTTGTCCTGCACAGGGGTGAGGGTGTTTCACTCCAGCCCTGCTGCCTGCAGCCTGGACTTCATTGGCGGGCCCACCATCCTTTTGGGCCTTATCTCCTTAGCGAAGGATGACCATACCATGTATGCAGCTGTGAAAGTCCTGCACTCAGTCCTGACCAGTAACGCCATGTGTGATCGCCTGATGCAGCACATCTGTGGCTACCAGGTAATCCCATCCTCCTGAATGAGCCTGGGACTCCCCTGAAAGCTGACATCTCTAAGCAGCAGGGACAAGCTTTATGTGACCAATGACATTCCCTCCATGGTGATTTCTGGAAAAGGATGGCCTTTTAAAAGTCTCCTGGGTTCTGAGACCTGCAGAGGAGCACCAGGTGACAGCCAGCCTGAGATATGCTGTTTGAGCTAGGGATGTTCATCTAGGGATGCTCACCTAGCTGCAGCTTCTGGCACTTTCCGTGACAAAATCCAGAATCATGTATGGTCTTTGCCTTCAGCAAAATGGCTATGATCCCAGGCCACAAAGCCAAATTGCTGAGGTTGAAATCCTCATCCTCATTATTTAACTTGGAAGAATAATTATCCTCTCTGCCTTGGTTTTCCCTTCTGTAAGGTAAGGACCTCTTGTATCAGAAGGCAGTGAGGATTTGATAGCGCTAAAGAAATGTTAGCTACTTGAACTCATAATCTCTTTGTGCCTCAGTTCCTTTATGTGTAAAATGGGAATATGTTTGTGATGATTAACATACAGGTCAATATGTTAAGAGTGTAGAGAGTGCCCACACAGAAGAAGTGCGAGGGTCCCATGCAGGGTATATTTTGATGGTTACTGCTATTTACAGTTGATAAGGCCAAATGAGACGGAAGCACTGTCATCAGTAACTTCCTGCATGGTTGGGAGGCGGTTATGAGAGAAACCTCAGGAAATAAGACTAGGGAAACACAGACATAGGCTTTTTCTCAAGCAACTTGCAGCTATTTTAATTAGTTTTTGTTTCTTTTGGTATGAGGGATTGAACTCAGTGACACTTTACTACCTAGGCACATCCCCAGACCCTTTTTATAGTTTATTTAGAGAGAGGGCCAGGCTAAATTACTGAGGCTGGCTTTGAATTGGTGATCCTTATGCCTCAGCCTCTTGGGCTGCTGGGATTACAGGTTTGTACCAGCACACCTGGCTCCATTCAATGTATTTTTTATCTCAGATATTATCATCATTTCCAAAATTTTGTCTGGGCTTTTAAAACTTTTTTGTGCTTCATTTACCTTTTCTGTGTACTTTATTTTGGTTTCTTTTTTTGATACTGCAAGTTGAACTGAGGGTTGCTTAATTACTGAGCCATGTCCCTAGCCCTTTTTATTTTTTATTTTGAAAAAGGTCTCACTAAGTTGCTTAGGGCCTCATGCCTCACTAAGTGACTGAGGCTAGTCTTGAACTTGGGATACTCCTTCCTCATCTTCCCAAGCTGCTGGGATTATAGGCATGCAGCACCATACCTGGCCCTAATTGGGTTTGGATAAGGGAGGAAAGAGTGATTAGATTACAGATATGTCAAAACAGTGACCAAAACAGTTTGAAAGATATTGCCTATTTGCTTATAACAAGTAAGGCTTCCCAAGGGCATACTGATAGAGGTGACAGGTATGTCTGGGAGAGATAGACTATGTAAGATGAGAGAGAGAATTGAGTGTGCTTGAGATGAACTGAGAATCCTGACAAGATGGATGAGAACTCGGATACCAGTGGATGGCCCAGTAGCCTGTGTTTTGTAACCAAGGTCCACAGGGCTGTGAGGGTTGGTGAGATGCATCTCCCTAGGCTCTGAGATAGGTTTAGTTACTGAGTGCATTGCTGGGTTCCCAGTGCCTCCATCCTGGAATGGATGCTTGCACTTGCTGGCTTTCTAGTACAGCAAAATGACATCTGGAGGCTGAAGCAAGGCTGGGTGTAACTGGCCTCGTAGGCAGGAGGCGGATTGTTGCCTCAGTGTCTGTGGGATGGTTATGCATGTAAAGGATCCAGCAACAGAAAACGAGAAGGAGCACTGAGAAACCAAGGAGGAAACCAGGAGAGAGTGGCATTTGGGGAACACAAGGGAAGAGAATCAGGGAGAAGCTGGAGTCTCAGAGAGAGGCCAAGTCACATGAATACTGTAAAGTGGACACTGACAAGGATGTGGCCAAAGAAGTTGGTGTGGATTTTTCTTCTGAGATGATGGGGATGAAGGATGGTAGCTTCAGAGAGCAGGATTCACCCACAGCACTGACCCAAGGTGCCAGCAGGAACAAGCAGTTGCAAGAAAAGGAGATCCCACCATGTGATCATGAGGACCCACTTTGTGTTCCAATCTTTTCAGATAATGGCATTTCTCTTGCGGAAGAAGACTTCTCTCCTAAACCATCGAATTTTTCAGTTGATCCTCTCAGTTGCTGGTACAGCGGAGCTGGGCTTCAGGTCATCTGCCATCACCAACATAAGTGTCTTCCAGCATATTCTCTGCAATTTTGAGGTAAATTAGAGCCTGGTTCTTAGTCATTCAGGAGTGTGTGTGTGTGTGTGTGTGTGTGTGTGTGTGTGTGTATGTGATGATAAAATATAAGAAGGTCTGGCGTTTGCTCTAAGCCCTGCAGGTCTGATTACTCCATAGTCATGGCAGCACTAGGAGGGAAAACCAAAACAGTTTTGGAGCTCAGAGGCCCTGGTTTGCAGTTAAATCCTACAACCTATGGGCCGTGTGACCTTGGGCAAATTTTCTAACCTCTCTGAGTCCCATTCTTCTTAAGTGTGCCATGGAGACCATTATCTCTTCCCCTCAGGTTTCGTGGAGGGTTTAAAGCAGATAGTACTTAGGAAAGGATTTGAAAACTGTAAAGTACCATATGCATATGAGGGTTTTAAAAAAATCATACCAATTCCTTTGGATGGTGCTTTGTGGTTTCCCAGTGACCTTTTAAGAGAGTGGCCTGAGAGGTGCTGAGGGGGACACTTGAAGATAAGTGAGGAGGGTCAAGGTACTTTGGGTGAATCAACCTGTTTGTGAACAGCATTATTTACTGAGTGCCCAGTGGACTCAGGTAATGGCCAGGTTCTGGTCACATCACAGGTCCATGACCCAGTCCCTCCTCACTCCCAGATGGGCCCAGGGCATAGTTAAGATAACGCTGTGGTGTGCTAGGTTCAGGTCTGGGGCCGCTGGGGAGGGGGAGTGAGAGCAAAGTCAGTGCAAGCTTTAGGGATCAGGGGCTCTGGGCTGAGTTTGACAGATTTCAAAGAAGAAAGGCCCTTTCAGGTGGAATGTGTGCTGTTTGCAAACACAGTGCCATGGGAACAGCCAAGGGGATCTGAAAGCCAGTGGCTGCTAGACGCCTGCCAGTTTGCATCAGGTGTGGGCAGGGATGAGGCTGAAGTGGGAGAAGCTGGGAGAATGTGCTCAAGGCAGAGTGAATACTTCAACCTACACATGTTGAGATCCATGGGAGTACTTTGAAACTGTTCCTTTGTTTATTAAAACAATTAACGTATGGGGGCTGGGGATATAGCTCAGTTGGTAGAATGCTTGCCTCACATGCACAAGGCCTTGGGTTCGATCCCCAGCACCATAAATAGATACATAAATAAATAACATATGTAGTCAGGTGTAGGGGTGCATGCCTATAATCCAGATACTCAAGAAGATGAGGCAGGAAGATCCCAAGCTCAAGACTAACCTTAGCAGTTTAGTGAGATCCTAAGTAACTTAGTGAGACCTTGACTCCAAACAAAAAATGAGCTGGGGATGTGGCTCAGAGGTAAAAAATAAATAAAAAAACATGCTTATTAGAGAATACTTTTAAATTACAGAAAATGGGGCAGGGGCATCTCCTATTTTCAAGAACCCATCAACTATTATCAAATTCAATGCATTATCTAACTATGCATTATATTTACCTACATGCGCACGCACACACACACACATATACACACACACATATATATATATAACAAATTTATATAGATAAATATATGTAAATAAAATATATTTTTCCTATATTATATAAAATCATAGTTATGATCATACTTCAGATATTGAGTTCTGCCTTTTCTCACATAACAAATACATATAAAATTTTTCATTACAAACACATACAAGCCTTGGTCTGATGTCAGAGTAATATTCTCTCATGTATAGAATTCCTGGCTTCTATTTCTCTATTGCCAAATTCTTGGATTATTCTTATACTTTGTTGTGATAAATGTCATTACACCAGCACTCTTGTACATCTCTTTTCCCTACTTTTAGAAGCATTTCCTTAGAATAAGTTACCAAAGTTGAATGATGAGGATGAAGCCTTTATAAACACTTTAGATTGTTGGTGAGTTTTGCTACATTGCTGATATCTAAGTATCTAAGGATATTAACTGTAGAATGACATGTCAGAATTTTATTTTATATATGTTTCTCTGTTGGCAAAAGCCCTGGGGCAGGGAGGTTAGTCAAGAGATGACTGAAGAAATTCAATTGAAAGATTTTGAAACCTAAATGAAACAAAGGCAGTGAGACAAAGATGAGGATCAAGAAGAAATAATAATTCAAATTAGAAGGGACTTAGAGTTGAATGACAGGGTGATGCTATGTGTATAAACATGGTTGAGTTGCCACTGAAAGCAGGGCTGGGAGAGAAATGTGCGTATTAGAAAGGAAAAATCATTTTGAAATTAATGAACAGAACTTTTAGATCAAAAAGTAACAATGACCAACCAAACAAACAAAAATAAAATTCAGAGAAAGGAGGAAGGGAAAAGTAAAGATAAGATTATAAATTAATAAGATAGAAAAGAAAAATATCAAAGGATAAATAGAACAATTACTTGTTTTCATAAAATAGATAAATCTCTGTTAGGATTAATCAAGAGCAGGAGATGTAGCTCAGTGGTAGAGTGCTTGCCTATCATGAGCAAGGCCTTAGATTTAATCTCCAGCAAAAAAAAAATATATAAATATAAAAAGTAAAAGTACTATAAAGGAATGAACAATTACAGAGGTAATTAAAAATAAGAAACTTTGTGCCAATAAGTTAGGAAACAGCACATTTGAACAATCTCACAGAAAATTCACATTTCCAAAGCTTACTCAAAAGGACATAAAATCCACAAATTATCGTATAATCATCAAATAAATGGAATCATTGGTTTAAATATTCACACATCACATCCAAAGGAAACTCCAGACCCAGGGATCTTATAGAAAAATTCTACCACTCAGGTAATAAGCCATTCTGGAAATAGAACAGATTATACTCTTAATCCATTTCATAGGCTAATCTTAATATCAGAACAACAACAATGAAAAGGATGGTACAGAAATGAAAAAAAAGTACATGCTAAATTAATCATAGCTACAAAAATCATGAATATGATATTAGAAAATAAAGGGGAAGGAGTTTCAGCCTTTGTTTTTGTGTTTTTGTTTTATTCTTTTTAGTTACACATACTATTTTTTATATAAATTCATTTGACATAATTATAAAAGCATGAATATGATTTGCTTCAATTCAGTCCCCAGTACTTCTCCTTTCTCTGCTCTCCTTCCTCCCCTGTTCCCTTCTGTCTACTCTACTGATCTTTCTGCTTTATACTCACAGATTCTTTTTTTTTTTAATTATTGCTTTGTGGATATACATGATGGTGAGATTTGCTGTGGTATGTTTATATATGTATATAGGAAAGTTAGGTCAGCTCCATTCCACTGTTCTTCCCTTCTCCTGTACTTCCTCACTCACTCTCAATCCCCTTCCTCTACTCCATTGATATTTCCTCTATTTTGATAGAATTTCATGCCCCTCTTTTCTTTCCTTTACGTTTTCCTTAATTTTGAACCAAGATGGAAAGACATTAAGTCTGAATGTAACTTAGAGTGAAGAGGCAGTAAAGGGGGCAGTTAAAACACTAGCAGGAGAAGAAATTGTTGGTAGAACAAGTCCTTAAAGAAGAGGGAGGAGCTTTGGAGATCTCACTCCTCTGTGAGATCTATGGTGACCTGTTTGTAGAAGGGGAAGAACAAGAAATTGAGAAGCAAGGAGGGATAGGAAGTTGAGAGGCAGGGAAGGACAGGAAGTTGTTAAGTGAGGAGGGACAGGAAATTGAGGATATTCAAATCTTATATTCTGGTTTCTTAAAGAAGGGACAGATCAACTAATTTCTGAGAGTTCTGAGAGTGAGATGGTCTCAGGGATTGGGGAGAGCAAAATCTAACACATTATCTATTTGATATTCAAACAGGTCTAATTCAATATCTCAATGCAATCCTTAGTAGAGGTTATGTGACATAGGCAACAACCAAAATTTTAATTATCCATGTTTCCCCAAACTCAGACATTTAATATTGTGTACAATGACTTCTAGAAGAGCCAAGCAACCTTGGAATGTGTTATTATTGTTCTAAGGGCTGGAAGTGAAGAGGAGGACTGGAAACTTCTATAGGAAGGATAAAGGGGCCAGCATTAGTGAATATCACAGGTTCATGTCTTTCTAAATTCTGCAGCTCCCAACACTGAGGATGACATACTGTTTGCTGAAAGACCAATTTTGTGAATAAATATTTTAAGTATTCAGGGTTCTTAGAGTCCTGCACATGTGTATGTTGGGGGTACCATACTTGGCTGCCTCATCTGTACCCCTATTAGCCATCCCCAAAAGCATTTGTCCTATCTCTGGGAACATTTGGACAGTGACTGTGCTTATGAGGGTTAGAATTCTGTCAGACTGCTTTTGGCTTAAGAACAATGTACATATGTTATGTTGTTTTATTTTGCTTTTGTTTTTTTTAAATTGGATGGGTTATTATTAAGTGCCCAGTATGTGTCATGTGTGATACTGGGTTCTGGGGATTGGAGAGGGATGGTCCCTGCATTTGCAGACCTCCTGATAAACTTGTATCCATTGGAGCTCTTTTGCATTTCTCTTCAGTAAGAGGACAGAGCCGTGGGCACCTGCCTGACTTCAAAATATTGATTTTCAACCCTATGGGTCACTGTCTGCCTACAAGGACCCCAGTGCAGCGGCAAGAGAATAAGCTCCTGATCAGAAGGAGCAGACTTTGAAACCAGTCTTTGTCAACCAGAGACAAAGGGTGACTTAGTGTCTTTGTACCTCACCTCATTTTCCTCTATAAATGAAGATGCAGGGGTTCCTCTTTATCTGCAGTTTTGCTTTAGATAGCTTCAATTACCCATGGTAAACCCAGGCCCAAAAATATTAAATGGAAAATTCCATAAATAAAGAATTTATAAGTTTTACATAATTTTATTAATAGCATATTAGGATAATTATCTTATTTTACTATTATTTATTATTGTTAATATATTATGCCTGATTTATAAATTAAACTATATATATTATATATATATATTATATATATAAAATATATATATTTCTGTACTCTCAGCAATTTCAGGCATCCATGGAATGTCTTGGAATGTATCTCCTTGTGGGTAAAAGGCAACTGCTATAATGGTGTTTTAGGACTTTTATGGAATCTCTTGCCTTGAGCTAATGGTATCATTTGTAAGTGTGAGCTTTTTTTATGCTCTTGGATGTATTCTTATAGCTCCATGTATGAACCTTCTATATGCTGGGCCTAATACTGGAATTGTCAGCATTTAAAGATGAAAAATAGTGAAGCTCTCTAAAATGACGTCAAAATGAAATATAAAGGCACACCATCAATTCTTCCAGAGAGGGAGAGTAATCAGCTCCATTTTTTTTTGCTATGATTGAAGACAATCTGAATGATAAACCTCATCCTCAGAATCTCTGTGCACTTGATATATGTGTCACTCATAATTCTCTTGTGCAGTCTCTGGTTTGTATTTCAGATTTTATTGATGAAGGTGCTGAAGATAGTATTGCATACCAAGTTCAGTGTGGCTTATTTCATTATAGTGTAAAACCTTAAAGGCAAAATCTGGCTTCTAATTCCACTCCTACCACTTGCTGGTGGTAAGTGGAACCTGTCACTCAGCTGGCCTGTCTTATTCTATTTTCTCATCTGTAAAGTGGGAACTCCATAATTTGCCTTGCAAAATTTAGTGTAGTCAAGATGCATCTCCTGTGTGGTCTCATTGGTTGTGGCCCATGACTGGGCAGACATAGGAGATAGGTGTCCTTGGTTGCAATCTAAACTCACATGAAGCACCAGGCAGCATTAGAGAAGGGGAGGAGATGAATGCATTTTTAAGCTTTCCTCCTGTGGTAGGGAGGCATTTCCTACCTTCTAGGTACCAGGAGAGCTGTCTGATCATGCAGCTAGTAATTCCAAGTGAAGAGACAACATGCTCAGCACCTGTCTGCAAACCCTCTGTCACATGCTCTTTGGTTGTAGCATGCATTTGTTTTGCCTTACAGCTCTGGATGAATACTGCAGACAACTTGGAACTTGCCCTCTTTTCTCATCTTGTGGAAATTCTTCAATCACCAAGGTATGCTGGTTTCTGGCAGTTTCAGAGTTAAAACTAACATCTTAATGTCAGGGCAGGATGGCTAGTGGGAGTACTAGAAGGCAGGATGACTAGATTCCTTCCCAGCGGATCATGTGTGTAGAACAGATCTCTCTCCTCTGACAGGTCTCAGGAGAGGAAACTCTGGGGCCTCAGAAGCTTCTGTAGCCTCAGGGGCTAGCACCTAACCAGGGTTTAACAAGTGTGGCTAGCAAAGGAAAACACTTTCATTCTTCATTTTGCATCAGCCCATTCTCTCTCTAACTGACGTCTTCAAGTCAATTTTTGAATTAGGATTTTTTTTTTTTGGTTGCAAGTGGCAGAAATACAACCCAAACCAAAGGAGGAAGGAAGGGGGAAAAGAGCAAGGAGAGCAGGAAGTGAGAAAGAAAAGCAGTTGAAGAAGGAATTCATTGGCTTGTACAATAAAAAGCGTAGTTGGAACCTAGGCTGGGTGGAACCCCCATGATTTCATCTGATCTCTGTCTCCCACTCTGCCTATGCTTCCCTCTGAGCTGGCTTATTTCTGCAGGCCTTCTCTTTGGCAACTAGGTGGCTGCTAGGCAGCTTCATAGAGCATATCTGGTCTCATTGGACCAACTTGGGTCCCATGACCTGGCTCAGAGCACAGATGGGAAGGAGTTAGAGAAAAGGGGGTTAGAAAGAAGTAGTTCCAAAGTCAGAGTTAAAACTAGCATCTGTCTGTCTACTGCTCACCAGGGCTTTGACCAGAATAAGGGAGAAGGGAGACAGCAAAGCCAGCTTATCAACCCCTCTACTTCCTCATGGCCAGACCACCTTAGTGACCATCAGCACCTTTAGTGTTTTTAATGCATTTTAAAACATCTTTTCTCTTGGACTCATTATTATTGAATAACTATTATAAACCCACTACATTTCATACCCCATTCTTACTGCTGGAAAGTTAGAAAAGAATAAAACACAATTCTGTGGAGAAGGAATATGGAAAGACAGCCTGCTCCGGTAGTGACAGGAAAAGAAGAGAAAGTAGCTAGAGCTCACAGGTGGAGGGATGCACATTATTCCTGTTCAGCCCATTCGTGTCAATCACACAGAAATGGCATGCTCCTCACTATCCCTGTGTCTCAGGAATGTGGAGCTTGGCAGAATTTAGCATGTTAATACCAAAAAGAAAGTTTAAGAGGAGGAATCCACCAGAATTCACACCCCACCCCCCATTTTTCATTTTCTGTAGCTATACCTGTTGTTTTCTTAGAATCAGACATTTACCCTGAAAGCTGTTTCTTTGGGGGAGTAGAATTTACTGGAAATTGGCTCTGTGATTATCCTAAGGAGGGGGATGTGGATACTTGAATTCTGTCTTTCTTGCCTTTGACTCTGTGGCATGTTTATCTACTTTGTGGTTTGGGGTGGGCAGGAAGATCACACACCCAGACAGGCTGCGAAGGGCCCTGTGCTCCTGGTTGTTGGGAAGTGCTCCTCAGTCACATTTATGTCTGCTGTCTTTGTTCTGAGTTTTCTGAGGGTAGCATTAGTTTTCCCTGAGGCTTGGAATTTAAAAGTCAATAATTGGGGTTTGTCTTTGAAGGCGGTTTCCAGGGGTGGGAGTGTGCGGTAGGTGGATGGGAGGCACATGCCCCAGCAACTCTGGCACTTGGCAGACGCATATTGGATGGGTGTCTGACGGCATTTTGACAAGTTGCCAAGAGAGCATAGGAGTCAGAGGGCCATGGAACAAGCCTAGTTTGGAAAATCTTTTTAGCAGAAACACAGCAGATTTGGTTCATTACAGTAAAAGCTTTTATTGCCTCTCTCCTGGGCTCACCAGGGAAGGACCCAGGAATGCTGAAGTTGCTCACCAGGCACAGCTTATACCTCAGCTTGTCTTCCTTTTCAATGAGCCTCGCCTTGCCCCTTCCAAGATCCCCACCATCATTGCCATTCTGGACTGTCAGCTGAAGAGCCACTTCAGCATCTGCGATGTGCTCAGGTACCTGGCCAAGCTTCCCCGAGGTGAAGGGCAGGGCCCCATACTATTTCACAAGGGAATATAGACCCCTCTGTCTCATCATACTCAACTCAATCTCACTTGGAACCTTCTAGAGGTTTCTGTTTGAGGCTGAGAGTTAGGAGAAGAGGAGGGCTTTCTTGATTTAGGATGAGAGGCAGGTGTCCTCAGCAGGGCTATCTGTCTTCTGCCCCCTGGTATTCAAATGCCCCTGCTCTGCTCAAGAATTTCCATAAGCACAGCCATCCTTAGCAGCTGATGGCCAATGTCTGCCTCCTGCAGAATTCCCAGAGAATGGTCCCTGCTGGTACCACACTCAGCCTTCTCTTTCCTGCTGCCTATCTGATATATTGATCTAGAGGAGTCAGAGTTAACATCTCTGAAGAATCCCGACAAATTCTGGAAGTCTCTGGAAATATTGTATTGATCATAGAATATCACAATTCCCCTCAAACCCTCCCTCGGTCCTTGGGTGGATCACTTAGGAAACACTAATGTGAGATTAGGATACATGCACTGAGCCCCTGTTGAGCTTGTCCTTTTTCCCTGTTGCATAAAGGATTGGGCTGTTTATCGTGTACACCCTCAAGCCTTCATCAGTGAACGAGAGGCAGATCTGCGTGGATGGAGCCCAGGAACTTTCCATGCCTGGTGAGAGGACCTTTCCCAGATGTCTTTGTCTGAAGGCAGCAGGATAACCTTCACAACGCCTCCAAGGCACACATTGTGAGGTCATTTTTCAGAGGGAGGGGCTGAGGGAAAGGAAGGGGAAAGTATCTGCAGCTGGGCAGTGATTACAAAGCAGTGGCTCGGGAGGCCAGAGTTTAAAGATTAGGACCACCAAATCAATTCCTATCTTCCTGCTTCAAACCCTGGAGTGGCATCTGAGGGCTTCAGGATAGTCAGGTCCCTATAGACCAAAACATGGGATCCTTGGTGCTCTGGCCTCCCTTCCTGGTTGAATCACCTCCAACCCCAGTGCCCTGATAAATCTCAACTCCAGTGCTTGCAGATCCCAGCATGTGCGGGTGTGGCCTCTATCCTTGCTTTGGAAATGCTTTTTTCCTCCAGAAATGCCACGTCCTGCCCACTCCTTTCTGCAACTTCCCCCAATGGATGAGCTGTCCCCCAGTCCCAGCAGGCCAGATTAAGTCACCCACCCTGTGCTTCAGAAACCCGTGGGGTTCTTGAAATGCACAAATTTGTTATTTCTTTCTTTAAGTCCCTCTCTCTCCCTAGATACAGAACAGCAGCCCTATCTTGTTCCCTTTGCCAGGGTGATGTGACAACTGCTTTGTCCCAGATCCTCTAGATCTGGGCTATCCCAGATTGGAGCCTCTAACCACATTTATCCATTAAAAAAATTTTGGGAGGGGGTATTGGGAATTGAACTCAGGGGCACTTGACCACTAAGCCACATCCCCAGCCCTGTTTTATATTTTATTTAGAGACAGGATCTCATGGAGTTGCTTAGTGCCTCACGTTTGCTGAGTCTGGCTTTAAACTCATGATTCTGCTGCCTCAGTCTCCTAAAATGCTGGGATTATAGGCATGTGCCACTACATCTGGCCCGTTTAAATTTAATTTTAAATCAATTGGATTAAATGCAATTAAAAGCTCAGTTCCTCACTCTAGCCACATTTCAAGTATTCAGTCACCACACAAGGTCAGTGGTCACTCTATTGGCCAGGGTAAATATCAGACAGTTTAATCATTGTAAAAGATTCTCTGGGACATCTTTACTCAATTTAGATAAATTATATTACCTTTTATCCTTTGAATAAGCCTCAAAAATGGGAACTATATTCCCATTTTGCAGAGGAAGAAGCTGAGGTCTAATGAGATTAGGAACTTAATCAGATATTAAGTTCTGACTAATCTATTTTGGATAGATTAATCTCTATTTTGGATGGATCCAAATAGACATCTGATTCTGCTCCTCCAAGCTGTTTCATCATTCCTATCTCTGTGCATGGTTGTAGTATAATAAGTTATTGGCAGGTAGGGAATGAAGGAATAGACAATGGGCCAAGAGTGGGCTTACTTGTTTCAATTCCCTTTTTCTATGAACTTCATTCTGAAACTTGAATCAAGCACATTAAATATTGTTTACCTGTTCTTTGGATTAACAATAGTGACACTTGAGAAGTCAAGTTACTTCTTTCACTGAATCTATGTACCTCTGCTATGGTTCATTTTCTAGTTTTAGTATAACATAGAAGTGCAAAGAAATAGCCTGGAAGTGAATCGAAAGCAGAAATCAAGGGAACAAAGATTATAGTCTTGACCACTTCATTCCCAGTGACTCCCACAATACCAGCACATAGTAGGAGCTCAAGAAATGTTGTAGCTTATGATACACCAAAAAACAGTTCTACTGAAAGATAAATATTATCTTATCATTTTTAGGATTTTTTTTTCTTTTGAGAATAGGTAGCATTAAATATCTCTAGTTAAAGGGAACTCTAGGAACATTTCCTGAAATTCTTTATAAGCATTACATTTAAGTTTAGATTTGAATGCCAAAATTTTGAGTCCCATCCGTGTACCAATTCCTGGGTAAACTAAGCATTTGATGAATATGATTGCTTGCTGCAGCAAATATTATGTCTCTTTACATCCGTTTTCTCTCAAATCTGAATTCTCTCTTTTTTTTTGTAGCTGGAAGCCAAACATCTGGAAAGACAATCTGGCTCCGAAACCAGTTGCTGGAGATGCTGCTCAGTGTAATATCTTCCCCCCAACTTCATCTGTCCTCTGAGTAAGTAGCTCCAGGAAGAGCAATTTGGCAGAAGGTTGCCTCATACAGGGTGCAGTATTAAAACCTTTTCTTAATGAAAAGTTTAGCATCTCTGAGTCTGTTTTCTGCTATGTGTTTTCTGCACTAGTCAGAAAGAAAATTATATTCTCTCCACCCAATAAACCAGACCTTGCCCTGAGATATTCTGATGCAAATGTTCAATGGGCATGAGTAACTAGAAACAGATTTGGTATAATTTCAATAAACTCCTTTTGTCACCATTGCTATCATGTAATTGTTATTGTTTTGGCAGTTGTGACAATTGCCGACTTTGATGTCCTGTACTTGGCAGACAACAGAATGGAGAAATGGTTAGCCTAAATAACATCTATCAAGGAAAAAGCTTGCCAGATTCTTCTGCTATTTACTGTTAGTTGCTTTAGTTATTTTTCCAACTTGGAAAAAAGAAGTATCTGCCTTCAATTAACTTTCAAAATAATGTGTAATGATAAAGCTGATTCCATTAACTCTCCCCACTGCTGGCCTGCAACCCCGGAGTCGTTCGTGCAACACCTATTTGTTAAGTTCCTGCTGAATGCATGACACTCTTCTTGGCCCCCAGGATGCAACATTGAGCAAGTGTGCCCAGTTCCTTGCTCTTCCTCTTTACAGTTTAGTGAGTATGTGTATTTGGGGTTGGAGGTGGAGACGTACCCATCTGTAAAACAACCCTGCAAATAGTCGTTAAAAATTTACCAGCTTTTACATTCTAAAATCAAAACATGATAAAATTGGAAGATGCCTTGGAGAGGAGCTAGTTGGCTCTTTCCTTTTCCATCTTTTTGAAAGGAGATGTCGTATAGCACTTGAGCACCTGGACTTTGGCATCTGGACCTTCTGAGTTGGAATCACAGGGGAGGTTTCATAAGGCCTGTGTGCCTTTCTCTGCTCATCTGTATGAGAATAAAAATAGATGGGTATCCCTGAGAACAGTATATGAGATACTGTAAATACTCCACAAGCTAACTGTTACCATCATCACCACCATCATCAATACTATCATCCTCACCATCATGATCTTCATCTCTATTGCCTTCATTACCACCACTACCATCATCATCATCACTGATTAAAATGACCAGAGCATACATCAAGTGCTCTGCCAAAGTCATCCAGTTAGTAAACAACAGGGGTAGACACTTTCTTCACTCCTAGTCCAGTGCTCACTCCAGTGCATACCAGCCACACCCTCACAAGGCCTCCTCTAGCAACTCCTAGTGAGAACACAACCCAGCTTCTGGTTCCCAGAAGGCCAGTTCTTTGCGGAGTCAATCATCCTTGCTGGAATGACCACTCATTCCTGCAATTTTGTTCCTTCTTGTTCCCCCCAAGTCAACATTCTCCAGACTCATCATTTCAAAATTAATTTTTTAAAATGATGGGTCATCATGCTTTTTTTCAGGCCTAAATTTGTAAAGATGTATAAATATTGGACTTTTGCATTTAGATGAGTTTTGACAGGTGTCTTTTAAAAAGAAGGTAAATAAACATTATGTTTTTTACATGACTATATTGATGGTAATTAAATGATGTGGATGGCTTTTTCTATACTGTGTAAGTAGTGAAGTAAGGATATTAAGGGGGCATGCATCTATTGATACGTAGTTACCAATTGCTTTAAACGGAGTTGAATGAATTAGGTCACAGCCATTAGTAGACAAATTTATCAACAGTGCAACAATCTTGCCAGCATTTTATTTTACATTCTTTTAAAATGTAATATGCACTACATCAAGTGATAGTCAAACACTAACCTTTAACTTACCTTTCCTCAAGGACTCATGAGGCTGGACTTCATTTCTCTTTTCTGATCATGTCATTTGCTTGTGAACTAAAAGGTTGTATTTACTGACCTCCATGCCCCACCCCTAGGTCAAAAGAAGAGATGTTTCTGAACCTGGGACCCGACTGGTTCCTGCTGCTCCTGCAGGGCCACCTGCATGCCAGTACTACTGTGCTGGCATTGAAGCTGCTGCTACACTTTTTGTCAAATCCCTCCCTCCGTGGGCGATTCAAAGATGGCCTTCCTGTAGGATCCTGGGTGGAACGAAGCACCGAGGGCATGAACATTGTGATGGGTGAGCATATGGCTGTCTCCAGCAAGAGGGCCATCTCATCCTGGCGTGTGAGTGAGGACTATGCCGGCCCTTCTCCAGTTGGGATCTTTGCAGCTCCATGCACTTGATCAGCCCCAGCCTCTTGCTCTTTCTTACAGGATCCCTCCACAGCCTCATCGCTCTTCAGTCTCTGGTGGCTGTTTTCCTTTTCTTAAAGTCTCCTACTCTGTTTACTCACTGGGCACTTCACATACTGCTTCCTCGCCTCTTCTAGCAGGTGTGGATTTAAATGCCACTTCCTCCAGGAGAAGAAGGGTCCCACCTGAATTGGCACCTCTGTTAATTCTCTCTGCTCCTATTATTTTCCTCTATAGTGTGATTTCTATTCTGAAACATAGATTAATTTAGGTATCCAATTGCTTAATGTCTGCAGGGCCCACTACACTGTAAGCTTCATGAATGTCTGTAATCCTTTGTACTTTTGAGTAATATATCCTTGTTGCTTTATATGAAGTTCCTTGTTGCTTCCTACACAGTTGGCATCTATTTTCTATCTTGAAATGAGTGAATGAATAAATGAATGAGCATGTCAACAATAGGAAAAGGAATTATCATTGAGCACTTTCTTGTGCTCATCTATGATAACATATATTTTAGCAAGTGTTTCTATGGTATGGTGGGTTGCCGGGGCTCCCTTATTTGTCTACTCCCACCATGACCAGAGCAGTTGTTCTCAACCTGGATTTTGTGCTTTTTCCCCTGGATCAATAGACAACCTGAAGAGCCATCCTTCTGTACCTGACCAGAGCCCCCGCCTGCTTCCTGGGTTCCGTGTCTTGACTGCCTTTCTGGCCCTGCATGTTCATATTCCTGAAGTCTACCTCATTGTGTCCACCTTCTTCCTACAGACGTCACTTACAGAGCTGATGGACTGTCCAAAAGTAGGTTCTTCGATCACCTCTGGGAAGAGGGACACACTTTGTTTTCTGATTCCATGTGATTAAGGCAATTCCCTAAGACTCTCTATGCTTGCCTCCCTCCAATTCTACTAACTAGAACTGTGTTTGATCTCTTTCCTTCTATAGCGATCCCATACACCTGGACAGCTTTCAAATACCTAACCATCAGCCCCGTGACTTCCTCAGCCTCTGCCTTCCATCACCTCCACCCCCTCAGCAAATATGAATGACATCAGGCTCTTTTTAAAAGATTTTCTCTTTCCAGACATAGGGAAGTTACTTGATGATAGAGTGTCCATGTCTCAGCAACCCATCTCCACCACCTACTTAGTTATGACCTCTTCATCAATTCACCAACTTTTATCCATGGTTGCTGGGAGAGGTTTCCCAAGGCTGCTTTTGGCTTCCTTTAACTTCCCTGGTCTACTCATTCTGTACTTTATCTTTCTTATCCATCCTTTCAGTTTCTTCTTTTCTAATGATTCTCTCCTCACAGACTATAGGTATGTTAAATTATCAACCTTTAGCAACCGTTACCCTATTTAACTCTTTCCTGTTTCTCCTTGGCCAAGTTTTTCCAAAGAGGAGTTCATGCCCATTGTGCACACCATCTCACCATTCATACTCTCACTTGTTCACACCAAGTCCAGGTATTACTTGGATTCCATTCCTACAAGACCAAGTTTGAGCTCTAGAGCTAGCATCTTGGGTTACCTAGCTTGTCTCTCCAACCTAACTCCAACTTACCTTTCTTCATGATGTGACTGTATTGGATCATCACCCCATTAAGACCAGATGCTTTGTGCTCACCTGACCTGTGTGACCTTACTGATTCTTTTCTCCCTCATCACTTGCCTAGTGGGAGTGTCCTCCCCCAGAACTCAGCTCCGGTGTTACCTTCTACATAGACCCCCAGGCATTTCCTCAGATGCACCAAATACAGGTACCTCTTAGACACAGCTCCAGAAGCAGAGATCCCACCATTGTTTTTAAACTCAGCTTTCTAGGCACCTGACAAATATCAGATTTGGAAATTGTTTCTTGATCTTATGTAGAATTAACTGAGCTGAATTAGGGAAAGGACATGGCTTGGCAGAGAAAGTTAAAAATTCACTTCTCTTGCATATCCTTATATTTGACAAGATTTAAATCTTATACACTAATAGGGTAGCTCACACTTCAAGATAAAGTTCTGAATATAACTATGCTAAGTTTAAAAAGACCTGAATTTTTTATTTCTCTAACAATGTATTATAGGAAGCAAACATCTACTAAGTGTCAGGAAATATGATAGATGCTTTACATATTTTATTTTGCTTGATATTTAAACAATCCCATGGGGTAGATAATGTGATTTTCCATTTCATAGAGAAGAAAACTTAACTGCCAAGAGGCCAAATAGATTTCCTGAGCTATTAAAAAGGAAAAGGCAGGGCCTCTTGATTCTAAACTCTAAACTGTTTCCTCTATACTGCACTTTCCCCTGAATCTTTGAATTCATCCTATGCTTATATAATTTAATTTACTAAAAGGTATTAAAATTAATTAAGACATTGAGCACTTATGAAGTCAAACCATAAGAACTAAGCTTTTGAAGAAATCTTATTTACTTATTTATTATTTATTTATTGGTGCTGGGGATGGAACCCAGCACTTCACATGTGTTAGACAAGTGTTCTACCGTCGAGCTACACCCCAGCCCAAAAGAACTAAATTGCCACAAGTTGCTAGTGGGTCTTCAGTACCTTCATGGGAGTGTGTTTCTCTTATTGACCATCAACCGAGCTGGAATTTTCCAGATGGGCTAACCACTAAGGCTGCTACTATGCTGTTTTGCTTTTTTCCTTGGGAGTTCCTGGGAAACGCTAGCACTGGCTACAAAGCTGGTCCTGTTGGTTTCCACAAGTCTCCTTATGGCCTTTGCTTTCTTCTTAAGGACAGCCTAGATGCCATGCTTCATTGGCTCCTGAAGAATCACCACCAGCAAGAAGTCCTCCGGGATGGACTGTGCACAGAAGGGGCCCTGCTGCTTCTAGAAATGCTGAAAGCCACCATGAGTCAGGTGAGATTCATTATCTACTCCAGAGGTTCTGTTGGGAAGGCAAGTTTGGAAAGGTCATCTTGACTCTTCTCAGCAGCTTCCCAGAAATGCCGATGTCTTAGTCCATTCTTTGTTACTATAATAAAATGCCAGATACCAGATAATTTATAATAAATAGAGATATTTAGCTCACAGTTTTGGAGGCTGTGAAGCCCAAGAGCATAGCGTTGGTATCTTCTTGGCATCTTGTGAGGGCTTTCTTGCTGTATCATAACATGGTGGAGGGCATCATATGGTAAGACAGAGAAAGTGCGCTAGCTCTGGGCTCTCTTCCTCTTCTTATAAAGTCACTAATGCCATAATGTAGGCCCTACCCTTATGACCTCATTTAATTCTAATGACTTCCCAAAAGCCTCACTTCCAAATACCATTAGCATAGGAATTTAAGGACTAAGTTTCCAACACAAACTTTCAGAGGTCATATTAAAACCATAGCATCTGGTAATAAGCAAGATAAAATAGAAAAGGTAAGTTAGATTGCCAAGAGACACTTATTTCTCATTTATTTAAACATTTGATTTTCTTCCCTGGGAGATTTACTGTTTTTAGTCAAAGGAAAGATCTCTGAAGTGGAAGAGGGGCCTCTCCTTCCAAGTAACTCACCCCTACCAGGACAGTTGGAGTGACCAAGAATGACCTGTGAGGTGTCTTAGAAAAGGCAGTGGCTACCAGCTATAGACATGGCAGAGGCTTCTGGAGTAGGTAGCCTTTGATTTGGAGATACAGTAGACATGGGTGTTTGGTGTTAATTTAGACCTGGAAGCAAGTGTGAGGAGAGAAGAACATGTGGCCGGTGAACAGGAGGAATTATTAGTCACATCAGTGTGATCTTGCATGAAAGGTTCAACTTTGTTCTGCAGACATCAAGGGCACAATTGGGTGCTTGATTGTGTGAAGAAACTTCATCGATTTTTGTAAAATGATACACAATTATCTTCTTTAACATTTAAATAAAATAGAAAAGCAGAAAATAAAAATCACCTGACATATACCAGATATGACCTCTATGAACTTCAGAGGATCATCCCTCTGGACATTTCTTGAAGGTCACATCCTATCCTTATAGAGGATGAGATCACAAAAATTCTTTTTGCCTTTCTTCCATCCACATTTTTGTGAACATATTTCCATCTCAATAAAGTGGGAAAACATAGGAATAACCTCTATTTATAATAAAAATTTATGTTAATTTTCAAAGTGCTTGTTATAAAAAACCTATAAAGGACTTTCTTGAAAAATCATCTTTTCTTTCTTGTTTGATGGCCTCCTGGAGTGCAGGATAGTGAGTCAAAGAGCATTTCATGCATTTTCTATTGGATGCACTTCTCAGAAAGATTGCACGTATATATGTATTCCACCATTTAATATACATCTCAATATCTTGTATAGAAGTACTTGGGCCCAGCCTCATAGTCTCAACAATATGGGCAAATGGATGATAGTTTCATACTTAGGTTCTTTTTGCATTTATTTTTAATAAATTTAAAACCATTTTATAAGTTTATTAACATTATATATTTCCATGTAAATTTCTGGTTTATTCTTTCATCTTTTGCCAACTTCTCTTTCTTTCTCCTTCTCTCTTGCCCTGTCTGTGGTTATGCTGAGACAGTCTAGATCACATTTTGTACTTTTTGTAAATAGGAATTTTTTAAAAAGGTCTTTTAGCATGTAATTAGATGATTTATGCTTTTTTCTTTTAACCAGTTACCTATGATGAATTACATCAATAGAATTCTTTGAATTCTCATTCAATTACTCTTGTTTTTTTAATTGTACTTCCTTATTCTGTTTTTGCAAATGTATATTGATGATTCTGTATGCATATTTATAAATGATATTAGGCTGATGATTTCTTTTTGTTTTATCTTTGTGAAGTTTTGATATCAATATTATGCTAGTTTTATATTAAGAATTTGTTTCTTTTGTATTCAAGTAGATGTTTAATCTATAATTCATATATTATTTAAATGCTTCTGTGAAACTGGCTGTATCTGAATTTTTTCCCTGATTATTGATTTGTTTAGTCTTTTAAATGTTTTCTTAACCCAATTTAGTTAATTGATCCTTAAAAATAACTACCCGTTTATTCAGTTTGTACAAATGGTATTGTGTTGCTTTCCATTGCTATAACAAACAAGTATCTGAAGTGAGCAAATGGGTTCATTTTGGCTCACAGTTTTAAAGGTTTCAGTTTAGTTGGCCTCATTGCTTTGGGCCTGGGTGGCACATCATGGCAAGAGCGTGCGATGGAGCAAAACTGCCTAATCTATCGCCAAGCTGGGTCAAAGGGGAAGCGGAAGAGCACAAGTCCCACAATTCCCTTTGAGTTCATACCCCTCATGACCTAAAGACCTCCCGCTAGTCCTCTACCTCTTCAAGTCTCCACCCATCTCCAAATAGCACCAAACTGGAAACCAAGCTTTTGACACGAATGGGATCTTGGAGGACATTCAGGGTCTAAACTGTAGCAGGTCTCTTATAACTCACAGTTTTCTATGTGTTATTTCTCTCTTCTTATTCTTAGTTTGAGGACTCCTCCTACTTTATCTTTACCACACCCTTCCTGTTCAGGAGCTGGTCTTATGGGTTTAAAGAACTAGATTTTGTATATCTTTATCAGTCTCCTGATTTTTTAAATTTCAATTTCTAAGATTTTTATATTTGGCCTTTCCAGTTTTATTGTTTTCTAAAACTCCTTTGATGACTATTTTCTAATGTGCATGTGGTTAAGCTTTTTTTTTTTTCATTTTAATCTATCCTAGTCTTATTTTTGTTCTGGTTAGATAATAAGATATGTACTTTTTTCATCTTTGAGAAATGTATTCATTCTATTGTAGGCCTAATGTACGATTAAGCTCATATATTTAAGATGTGATTTTTAGACTAGATAAAAAACAAGACCCAGCCTTCTTATATGTGTTGGAAAGACAAACATATGCAATGAGAATGATGCTACTCACGGATTCAGTACAATGAAGATACCTGTCGTGAAAGTATCTTTTACCAAGAACAGCAGACAAGTATCTAAATATAAAAGGCAAAAACTAGAAGGAGAAGAGAAAAAGACTAGAAACCTAATTGTGGGAATAACTAACTCGAAAAGTTCAGTTTATTTTACTTTTTCTTGAAACTTTATTTTGTTTGATATTACACCTTTGACCAGTGGTAACCACAGATTTGACTGCCTGTCCTTGAACTTGATGTAAATGGAATCAGACAGTACATATTCTTTTGCATCTGGCCTTTTTCACTCATCATTACATTTTGGGATTCACTCATGTTGTTATGTTATCAGTAATTCATTTTTTCACTGTTGAATAGTATTTTCTTGTGATAATTAATCACAACCATTCTGGCTTGTTTCAGCTTGGAAACATGCTATATACCTATCTTTTGGTGGACATATGTACTCCTTTCTGTTGCAAATATATCCCAGGAGTGAAATTGTGAGTCATCAGTTACACACATGACTTACTTTAGTAAATAATGCCTAATAGTTTTCCAAAGTGGAAAAACCAATTTACATTCTCTCCACCTTTTTTTTTTTTCTGGAAGGGTTTTAGTTGCTCCACATCCTTGTCAGTTTTTTGCATTGTTAGAGGTTTTGATTTTAGAAATTTTGCAGCATGTTACAGTGTTTTGGAAGAGACAGGGTTGTCTCCATTGTGGAGGTGTAGAAACAGAAGTTATGGGGGTTAATTCATCCAAGCAAGGTCACAGAGCTCAGGCACAGTGGAGGCATGTGTGTCCAGCATAAGCATCATGATTCTAGGTCATGTCCACGCCTTGACCTTCAAGGGAGTCTCTGTTACTTGGCAGATCAAATCCAAATTCTTTTTTTAAAAGGGCAAATACTCCTTATGACCTCACCTTCTAGCTTCTTCTGTATTTACCCTGTGCTAGTCATTGCAAAAAATAAGCTGCATCTGAAATGCCTCATTTGCTCTTCATTATAACTTTTGGAAATAGGCCATAGCACGATCCTTTTTCTGGACTTGGAACTCAAAGCCTAGGGAGATTAGGAAGCTGGTCCAAGGCTATGCTTATTAGTAGGTGGCAAAGGCAGAGTTCCATCCAGATTGACTAACTACAGAGAAAGGTCTCTGAACACCTTTTATTTCTCATATTCACCTATAAATCTAATATTGTGCTATAAGAACCTATAAGAGATCCAGATGCAGGTGACTTCAGAACTCTTTCTCTCTGCCTCCCTGCCCCAGCCTATCCCAAACCCTCTCTGGATTCTGGACATGTGATTCCAGTCACCCCACATGTCTTGTCTTTTTTCTACAATTAGAATTGAGTTTCCGGGCTGGGGATGTGGCTCAAGCGGTAGCGCGCTCGCCTGGCATGCGT